TAGTTTCAGTCTCCCTCTTGAAAAACATTTCCAGCTGAGAACCAGGAGCCAAAGAGTTTGTGTGGAAGGATGTTCCCTGCTGGTTTTTTCATCTGTTTGAACTTCCTTTGTCTTCCCTTCCTGCTTGATGGCTCTGTTTACTGCTTAAATGCAAATTCAGCAGAGCACATGTTCCTTTGTTTAGGACAGTTCTGTTTGGACAGTGTTGTGGGGTTTGGATCTTCTGTTAATGACACCATACAGAAGAATTTTATAAATTCACATACAGTGGTGCCATACATTTTACCAGGAGAATACTGATCAGCCCAAATTGAGTGTTCAAATGATACCTTACAAGGCATATTTTGTACAATGCTTATTACAGTCGTGTGTAGGGTGTGAATACAAGGGTGTATATTCTGTCACAACTGGACAATACTTCTCCCCTGCCCCATGACTACAAGGCTCATCAGGAACTGTTGAAGAGGATGACCGCAGCTCTTGATATTCAAATGGAGTGAGAAGTCACACAGTCTGGTGGACGTTTTAGCCTTGGCAGGTCCCTGTAGAGTAGCCCTCCCATCAATGGTCTTATCCTTGAGCCCATCAAGGTGTTATGGCAGACCCCATCTTCTCTTCCCCCTACTGTAAAGAGAGCAGAAAGGATGTACTGTGTCCCCTTGCAGGGGTTTGGGTATCTGTATACCCATATCCCTTGAGGCTGCCTAGTATTCTCTGCTGCTAATGAGAGAGAGAGACCAGACATCAACGCCCAAAGGAAAAGAGGCAAAAAAATTGGATCTATTTGGTAGAAAAATGTATTCCACAGGAAGTTTACAATTTAGGATTGGAAACCAGCAGGCTGTGCTGGGTCGTTATGATTTTACCTTGTGGGAAATGTTTTAAGGGTGAAGAACAGGCTACTGGATGAGGTGAAACCGGAGTCTGCTGCCATAGTGGATGAGGGCAAATTAGTGGCCAGGACGGCTCTCCAGGCCAGTCTAGATGGGGATGACTCTGCTGCTCAGGCTATGGCCATTGCTATGGAGAGGTGTTCATGGCTCCCGTCCTCCAGAGGGTCAACTCAACAGACCATTTAAGGCCTCCCGTCCGAGGGGCCTTTGCTGTTTTCAGACAAAACAGATGATAGGCTGTATAGCCTCAAATATTTAAGGGTAACGCTTAAGACTCTGGGCATCTGTATGCCAGCAACAAAAAGAAAGCAGTATCACCCTCAGCATCCTCACTGATATCCAGCTTTTATACCTTGTATCCAGGACCTGTCCAGACAGAAGAGCAGAAATCACAAGAGGCATCCGCCTCCTCCCTCATCTTCTGCAGCTGCCACTTCTTCTTGGCAAGCTGGTTTTTCCAATCAAGCACCTTGACACGATGGTCGAGGATAGACGACCGGTTCCCAGCACGCAAGCATCTCCTACCCTGCCATTTGTCAGTTGTTTATCCCACTTCCTACGAGCGTAAATGACTTTAAGCTACAAAATGTGATGCCCAAGTGGGGCTATATCTTTCTGGCCCCAATACCTGTGACTGTAGCAGAGAACCTTAAAATATGAAGCATCTCCTGTGATGTCAGCAGCTTGAGAATAAATGCTCTTCCAGTGATCAGCAGTCGCATGTGCATGGACGTGGTGGGAAGCAATATGAGGACACGACAAGAAGATGATCATGGCTATACTACCTAGCCAAGAAATGTCATAGTTCTTCCATTCCTTCCGGTCTTTTATTATTGTATTCCACATTGGACAGTAATGCTTTTTATGTTTCTCCACAACATATTTAAATATTTTAAAGATTCCTTTACCCATTTAAATGTACGTAGCTGACAACAGCTTGGTTTGACCCTTTGGGGAATAGTAGTTCCTACCATTTCAGATTTTTTGTAGTTCATGTGGAAGCCCTGATACCTGCCCACATTCCAAAGTCCATTGTTCTCTCATTTTTAACAGGGTTTCTCGTGCCTGCAAAAACAAGACCTCGTCAGCATGTACAAAGCTATTTTCTGTTCTAATCCAGAAGGCATTTTGATCCCTTTACCATGGGGCTGTTTCTCACATTTATTGCAAATGTCTTCATTGCAAAAGCAAACAATAGTGGGGGATAACCAGCTACTTGGTCTGGTACCTTTAAACAACTTACAAGGAGGGGATAACAAAAGTCTTTTGTTTCCAATGATTAATCTTTTGTGTCAAGTTTCTTTACAGTGTTGTGTACATAACTAGGAATTCTTGCATGGATTGTTTCATTTACAGCTTGTGTATGCATCCGAAGAAGTGGGTTGTAGCCCACGAAAGCTTATGCTCTAATAAATTTGTTAGTCTCTAAGGTGCCACAAGTACTCCTGTTCTTTTAGCTTGTGTATACAGTGCTTCCTGTGGATGAAGGGGGTGGAGGCTAGAATCTTGAAGCATAATCAATCTCCATTGGCTAAACTTACTAGGACGGTTTTTTAAGGGTATTCATGTAGACCCATCTCTCTTTTCCATAGCTAGCCTCATAAGACTACACCCTCCTTTCAGACAAGATGTCTGCAAAGTGATGCATCTCTCACATTTTGCCTAAAATTGAATTAATATTTGTTTAATTAGATTATTTTTGACAGTGTGTAAAAATGTTGGTTCTATAATCACATTGCAGATCATTGATCTTTTGGCGGGTCTGGACATATTCACTCAACGTGGCCTACATCTATCCACCGCCCCAGCTGTTTCCCCTCTATGCCCTTCCCAGAAACACAGTCACTCAGTGTTTTGGGTTTGCTTTTGTTTTATATGAATGACCCCATTGAAACTTTATGTTAGAATCATAGTCCATCCTTTACTGATAAGTATATGTGAGTTACTGCTTAGAGGAGAGCACAGAAAGATACAGGGGGGAAAGGAGGATAAAAGTGTCTGAGACGGTTAATCTGCATTCCTGTTTTCCTTCCCCTAGATCTGAACACCAATACACACCTAACCAGTGACCCTGCTCTGTTAGCCACTCGTTTTTCTACACTATCTACCAGCTTCAGTGATTTAACATCAAGGCATCAACCTTTATCAGCTGAAGCGTTGCTTGAGCATTCACAGCCAGCAACAATGAGAAAAACATTCCCATCTGCAATGCCTAGGAAAGACAGCGAATCTGCAGCTAACAGGTGCTTGAGCCCTTCTAGAATGGGGTATAAACAAAGTGACAGACTGCATTCATCACTGTCCCCTCAGCATTGTTTTAAAGAGTCAAATAAGGAGGCAAGTGTCTTACTATTTAGCCTCTTTGCTGTACAGAAATGCATTTGCTATTAATGGAGATTTATATTGGCATCTCATTATAATATGCCTATTTGTAACAGAAAATGGTTGTAAAAGCTATGGTGTGGATATGTTTTTGTATGATTATTCTAAATACACCTCTGCCCCGATAGAACGCTGTCCTCGGGAGCCAAAAAATCTTACCGCGTCATAGGTGAAACCACATTATATCAAACTTGCTTTGATCAGCCGGAGTGCGCAGCTCCCCCCCTCCCCCCAGAGCACTGCTTTACCGCATTATATCCAAATTTGTGTTATA